TCCTGCAGGAGGCCACCAATCTCTCTCTCCCTCTTTCCACACTCCCCCCCCCCCACTCTCTGAAAATCAATGGAAAAATATCCTTGTGTGAGGATTAAAAAACATAATAAAATATTTTTTTTAAAAGGACACCAATGAGGGGTTCTGTGGTCTCTGCCCTGGTGCTGGGTGTGCTCTGAGGGGTCTGGAAGAGGAGATGACTCTGACATTCCAAACATATGTTGTTCTGGATGCAAAAAGACAATAGACAGGCTCACTTAAGGTAAAGATTCACCTTGGTCAAGGAGCTATAGGCCTAGGACATGACTACCTGCCATGACCTGCTTTTAGTTAGGAATTGTTGTGTTCAGACCGTCCTGTGTGGCTACCTGCATTCTCTGAGTTTTAAGGCCCACCCCGCAGGCCTCCCCGAACTTTTCAGGTTGGTGTGTGACCCTTTTTCATCCATACCCCATTTCTGAAAACACTTCGGGAAGCCCGGACACCCAACTCCAACACAGATCACCCCAGGAGGCGTTGGAAAGGGCAGGCATGGGAAATGGAGAGAGGGAGGAACATTCTTTTCCTGTGTCTGTGAAGCCTGCTTGGCCCAGTGCAAGGGGGAAGTAAGGTTCCCGTCTAATCAATCATTCTAATCAACCAGACTCTGTGTCCTCAAGCCAAGCTTTTCTCAATTCTTTATGTCTGATTCTTCCTCCATCCTCTGACCGGATCAGTCTTGGGATAATGTGAATATAATGAGCCCATGCTTGCAAAGGGCTTGGCGTATAAAAGCCTCACAAATGCTTTGGATTTTGTGCTCATTAAAGCAAACAAGGCAAAAGCGGAGAGTCGCTGTAGTATTCCTGACATAGGTAAGTTAGGGGTCCCCAAGGCCCGAGGCTCAGCCCTGGTGAACAGGAAGTCCGAAGGATTAGAGAGAGAAGAGAGCTCTTGGGGGACTGGGGAGGGCTGTGGTTATGGAGCTGAGATGTGAGCAAAGGGAATAGGGCCAAGTCCTTGTGAACCCTTCATCAGGGAGAGCCGAGATCCATGCTGGCAGCTGTCATTTCCCCTCCCGTGGGATGCTCCGCAAAGTACCGGACTGGGGTCTTTATTACTTCCCACTTGCTAATGATTGCCAGTTTGGGGGGCTCTGGGAGGGAGCTGTGTGCTTTTCACGGGGGTGTTTGCTGAAGGTCGGTGTCAGCCCTGCTTGATTTAAGTCTTCCCAGATTCCCTGCAAAGCAATAAACAGTGAAGTGATGAAATTAGCCCTGGAGCCAGAACAGGGAGGAGGCCTAGTCACGAGGGAGAGCCGGAGAGCATCATCAAGGGTGGGGAGAAATGAGAAACAAGGCAGGAAGGCCTAGAAGGCATTTCTGCTCCAAAGAGTGGAAGGAATACCTCCCCGAGGGGGCCTGAAAGGGCGGTAAATCCAACGGCCCCAAACGTTGCTGTAACTGAGCTCATCTGGGGGTGAAGGGCCTGAGGTTGGGTGGGGCAGAGTACAGAAGGCATCAAGGACCCTCGTGGGCCCCGCCCGAGGCCCCAGTTTCGGGGAAAGGCCAGGTAATCCTGGTACCCTCCCAGGCAGTTGTCCTGGAAACACTGGCAGACTGATGATGGGATTGCAGCCTGAGACAAAGCAGGGCTGAACAGGCTGATTTCTTAGAATATACATACAGGGCTGGGCAAAAGTAGGTTTATAATTCTAATACAATAATTAATAAATGATAATACAGGACATTGGTTAATTCAATTATATAGGTTTCAGGTATACAATTCTATAATACATCATCTGTATATTGTATTGTGTGTTCAGCACCCCAAGTCAAGTCTCCTTCCATCGCCATTTATGCCCCTATTCCCTCTCCTTCCTCCTCTCCACCCCCTTTCACTCTGGTAATCACTATACTGTGTCTGTGTCTATGAGTTTTTTGTTTGTTTCTTTGTTTGTTTTTGTTTAATCCCTTCACCCTTTTCACCCAGCCCCTCAACCCCCTCCTCTCTGACAGCTGTCAGTCTGTTCTCTATGAGTCTGTTTCTATTGTGTTTGTCATTCTATTTTGTTCATTAAATTCCACGTATGAGTGAAATCATATGGTACTTGTCTTTCTCTGACTGGCTAGTTTCACTTAGCATAATGCTCTCCAGGTCCATCCATGCCACAAAGGGTAAGATTTCCTTTTTCATATGGCTGAGTAGTATTCCATTGTGTAAATGTACCACAGCTTTTTTATCTACTCATCGACTGATGGGCACTTGGACTGCTTCCAAGTCTTGGCTATTGTAAATAACGCTGCAATGAACATATAGGTGCATCTACCCTTTCGAATTAATGTAAATTTTGAATTGAATAAATTCAATACAAATTAAAAAATAATAATACAAGAATAAACTCTGTGTAAACCTACTTTTGCCTTCCCTGCATAAAGGGATCAGTCATGTCCACCATGTCAGCCTTCCTTCTGCCACTGTACACACACCCTTCCAGAGCTCATGCACACACATGCACACACACACGTGCACACACGAACACACTAGCTCTATCACAGAGAGGCTACCTGGAGTCTGTTTTTGTGAGGAAGAAAACTCAACCAGGATTCAGGAGGCTTTGCCACCAGCTGGCTGTGTGACATTAGCCAGGTATTAAAAGTTAACCCTTCCCTCAAACTCAGCTTCCTTACCTGTAAATCTGGGAGAATAATTTCTCACCCTACGTTTCAGGCTATTGAAGGGATCAAATGGGATAATGGATGTGAGCTCAGGTCACCATCCTCCCTCAAATTAACTCAGAGTCTCTGAGGGTGTGGTGCTGACCTTGGACGCAAGCTCCCCAATGATCCATATGCAGGCATAGACCCACTTCTGGGAAGCATAATAAACATCATTCATAGATTCATTCTAAGTTGTGTTTGTTGGGCATTTCTTTGTGCCAACTGCTGTGCTAGGGGCTTTGGAAGGGCAGACAAGACAGACACGGTCCCCGCCCTCAGATTTTAAACACGGGGAAGCGAGCTGTTGGAGGAGTAATAAAAGGTGCACTGCATTCTACAGAGAGAAAATACAGAACACGTGGAAACCTATTTAACAGGGACTTATCCAGTCTGGGGGCTGCAGGAGGACCACTGAGGAAGTGACGTGCCAGCCGTGACCTGGAAGACAAACAGAGGGCATTCATGGCGAGGACGGTGGCATCTTAAATTCAGGGTCACGCACAGTTCCTCCCCTGCTGAGCCCATGCAGAGCTGCCTTCACTTCCCCAGTGTTCCTTGCCCATGGGGCCTTTTCTTTTCTTTTTTTCTTTTTTTTAAATGGTGTTTACATTTTTTTTTAATCCTCACCTGAGGACATTTTTTCATTTTTTGTATTGTGTGTCCAGCACCCCAAGTCAAGTCTCCTTCCATCGCCATTTATGCCCCTATTCCCTCTCCTACCTCCTCTCCACCCCCTTTCACTCTGGTAATCACTATACTGTGTCTGTGTCTATGAGTTTTTTTGTTTGTTTCTTTGTTTGTTTGTTTTTGTTTAATCCCTTCACCCTTTTCACCCAGATAGAGTGGGAAGGAGAGAGAGAGAAACATCAACGTGAAAGGGACACATCGAGTGGCTGCCTCCCGCACATCCCAACCAGGGCTGGGGACAAACTGCAACCGAGGTACGTGCCCTCAGCAGGAACCGAACCTGGGTCTCTCTGGACCGCAGGCTGAGGCTCTAACCGCTGAGCCAAACCGGCCAGAGCAGCCCAAGGTGCCTTTTCACTCCAGCTGTGATCACAGTGGTCAGAGCATTTGGAAAATGAGGTCACCGTTGCCGCCCGGGCTGCTTCCAGGTCATTGTCTATCACACCCTCAGTCATGGGCCTGACCCTCTTCATTTCCAGCCAGTTTCTTAGCATTTGTAGAACCTTTACTCATTACTTTAAAGAGGTAGTAGGTACGGTAGCAGATATTTCTGAGTTCAGATCTCGGCTTCACCACATGTTCTGGGTGCTGTTAAGAAACATTCTTAACGTCTCTGAACCTCGATCTTTTTATCACTAAAAGTGATACTTTAGACTATCAAGTTTATAGGATTGTTGTGAAGATTGTCTCTTGGCAAGACCTCGCCCATCATGGCATTAAAAATGGGACAAAGGAAAGCCAAACTTAGAGCTCCTACTTCTAGCGTTACTGGCTTAAAATATCCCGGGACGATGGCGTTGGGCAAACTGCTGGATGCACAGCTAAAGTTGAAAGGAAATGGGAAATCCCTCAAAGATTACTCAAAAAAAAAATCAAACTAGAAGCTGAAACTAGATGGGTCAACAAATGCAGAAGCTGGGTGTCAGGGACCTAAATCTTGGGTGCAGGAGGAGACTAGGCTGTGAGTGGCCTAGGGGGGCAGCTGGACCGAAGACCCCAGCATAAAGCGCCAACCCAAGAAGGCACTGTCCCAGGCACTGCCACACTGTGTCACCCTGAGACAGACATTCTGGTTATCTTTTTATTGGGGGACAGTCTTTTCTGATTGGTCAATCCTCCTACTGACTGGTCAGCACCTATTCCTGTGGTGGAAGCTTTTGAGTCTCAGCCCCGCTAGTCTGAGTGAGGGGAGTGAGGGCGAGAGGCTAAGGGAAAATGCACCCACGCCAGTCACCATGTGTCAGGGGATGGGAGGACGCTGAGCCAGATCAAGCAACTGGCTCTCTTCTTTTCGCTTTGCCCAAAGGGTTTGAGCAAGGCGCCTATAGAGGAGGCAGCTGAACTGGCCTGTCTTTTCCAGCGGGGAGATCATGGAGTCTCCTTACCCAGGCCTGTTGGGACATCCCAGTTCTTCAGCCACTGGATTCTTACCTTTGTCCCTGTTTTCTCTGCTTACCATCAGGTCACCTGGAGCTCAAGTGGGCTGACTTGGACCCAGGCGCAGGAGGGGATGGGCACAGGGTGTGGGGACTGTTCATGAATGGGGCAGCTGGAGAGGGTGGGTGTGGCTCAGGGTGCCCCCCTGGCATCTGACAGCACTTGGCTCCATCACAGTGAGGTCGGCTGGTGGCGACGGAGATGCCTTGTGTGTTTCAGAAGAGGAGCTGGCTGGTGACGAGGACATGCCGTCCTTCCCGTGCTCACAGGAGGGTAAGGGCCCTGGGGGCTGTCCTCCGATCTCTTCTCTGTGCTGACAGCTCCTCCCTGCTCCCATCCTCGGGCTGGTCATTTGCCTCTCTCCATGGCCTCGGAATCCTGGCTGTCCTTCTCTGTTTTCTGGAGGGCAAAAAGGCAGAGTGGCCTGGGCCTGGGCTGTGCAGTACGGAGGAAATCAGAGTTTGACATAAGTGTCATCTGTCCCCAGGGCTCCTCAGGAGACCTGTCTGCCATCTCCTCCAGGGCCTGTCTTTCAGCTGGCCCAGAACTGTGCCCTCTGTCGTATCCCATGCCAGCCAAGTCGACTATATATCCTCAGGCCACAGGATCCAGCTCGGCATGTGGTTTATCTGCACTGTTAGTTGGAGTGGGGCTTCTTGGTGGGTTTCAGCATAGATTGGAGCAGCTCTTCTCGACCTTGGCTGTGTGTACCTTGTAATTGCCCAGGGATGCCTGAGACCAGCCCTCAGAAACGCTGATGTCTTTTGGTCTGGAGTATGAGCAAGGCATCAGGATTTTTAAACATTCCTGGTACTGCTGATGTGAAGCTGAAATTGACAAAACCTAGGGATTTCACAGCTGGGGACATCACCCTTCTCCCTGGGCATTGGCCACCTGCCCGATAGCAGGAATGCCTGTTCTGCCCTTCCTCCATACTCGGGACCACCTGGTCGGCCAGAGCAATTTGTTCGGTTTCCATAAGAATTGCTGGTTACCTGTGAAATTTGGAGACTGGTGATCAGCCTGGTTTGCCTGGGACTGAGGACTTTGCCCAGGGCGTGTGACTTTCAAGCCTTGGCAAACCATCCTAGATAACCTCGTACTGAGGAGTTCCTGTGACATGAGACTCAGTGCTGAAAGCAGGAAAGGCCCAGGCAAGCCGTGGTGAGCTGTTTGCTGGCTGCCCCACCTTGTGGAGCCGCAGTGTGGCCAATGCATCGGGAAGATGTGTTTGCTCACAGCCCAGGCTGAAGGATGATGCCACAGGATGATGGTCGCGATGGGAGTTCTCTGAAGACCCTGACTCCGGTCTCTTCTATTCCCGAAAGCTCTGGGGGCTGGAGGAAAGGCAGCGAGGTGGGGAGGGAATGAGGAAGAACACCACGGTGCAGTGAGACAGGCCAGGGCAGGAACAGGGGACTGAACTTTGAGCTGCAGCCTCAGCCGCTGGCCTCCTTTTGTCCCCCCACAGGCCGGCTGGGGCCCCGCTGTAGCCGCTGCCAGAAGAACCTCTCTTTGCACACGTCCGTGCGGATCCTTTACCTCTTCCTGGCTCTGCTCTTGGTGGCCGTGGTCGTGCTGGCCTCTCTGGGTGAGTGCAGACTCCCAGCAGCATCCAGCTAGTCCAGGGCTCCCCCACCCCTACTCCCTCCTTCAGGGGATTTCTTATGAGGCATCCAGCACCTCAGCTCCCCTCCACAGACCAACACTCTCTGCAGCGGAGCCCAGGGCCAGGGAATCTCCACGCCTGACTCAGACTGCAAAGACTGGCTCCTAATTTCTGGTCAGTAATTGGCTGTGTGGCCTTGAGCAGGACCCTTGCCCTCTCAGGACTTCTGTTTACCTATTGATAAAATGAGAGACTGGGACTAGATCAGTGATTCTCAGTTTTATCTCCATGTGAGAATCACCTGGGAGCTTTAAAAACAATCGATGCCTGGACCCCACCCCCAGTAATGGAATTTATTCATGTCTTCAAGCTTTCCAGATGACCGTGTCCATCCGGAGTTGAGGTCACTGGATGGGGCGATTTCTAAGCCCCGTCTGTGGTCTTTGTGACTGTTTCTTAAGGTGAGGCTGGATGCCTACCTGCGCCAAGGCCATCTCAGTCTTGGTGGAATGCAGAATCCTGGGTCTCACCCAGTCTTACCAACTCAGTCCGACCGGTGAAGCCCAGGGATCTGAAGGTCGGTGGGTCTCCTGCACGCTGTAGCTCATGTGCGTGGCAGCTGACCCAGGTGATGGCATACGGCGAGATCCCGACCCCTGCTGCCTCGGGGAGCTAACGGTGTATGGTGAACCGATGAAAACAAGCGTGGTGGCTGCTCACTGCCGTGGCGTTCATTCGCAGCGTCGGAGTTTAGAAAGGCTTCTGTACTCAGTCTGTTTGCCTTCATGGACTAGACGTTAGGGACAAGACTAGGACTAGCATGAGAAAAGGGAGGTGTGGAGGGTGCCTCACTCTAGGTGCTCATCCTACACTCATCCGACCCTTAACGGGGGTGCCCGTTTCCAGCCCTGGTTAGAGATATAGTAAGTCCTCGCTTAATGTCATTAATAGGTTCTTGGAAACGGCAGCTTTAAGTGAAACGACGTATACTGAAACCAGTTTTACCATAGACTAATAGATATAAACAAGAGTTAGGTTCCTACATTATATTTCTGGTCACGAAAATACTACCAAACTTCTAAATAAAGACCCTAAACACTTCTAATATTAAACATACAAATAAATGTGAACTCTACATACATTTAAAAAAGATGGTCCAGCCAGTGTTGCTCAGTGGTTGAGCATCAACCTATGCACCTAGCGGTTGCCAGTTCGATTCCCGGTCAGGACACATGCCCAGGTTGTGGGCCTGATCCTCAGTGGGAGGCATGCAGGAGGCGGCCAATCGATGTTCTCTCTCATCGATGTTTCTATCTCTCTCTCTCCCTCTCTCTCTCTAAAAATCAATAATAATTTTTAAAAAGATGAATAAGAACAAATAAGATTATTTTCCAACCCAACGATTCCAGTTTAGGGTTGCAGGTAGCCAGAGCCTATCCCGGCAGCTCGGGGTGCACAGAGGGAACCCACCCTGGACAGGACGCCCTTCTGTCCCAAGTGCATCACACACACAGTCACTCAGAGGCCCTAGGGTCTCTTAATAGGTCACTGTTACTAATTAAATCTCAACAGCTCTGACCTATCAATGTTAATTAAAGCCCAGAGATTCCAAAAAATTTGGAATTGTAGCATTTTGGAGCTGATAAGAACTTTAGAAGTCATTTGGCTTCAGACTTTCTTTTTATAGATCATTCAACTGAACTCTAGAAAGATTCATTGACTTGCCTGACGTCACCTAACACATTTGAGGAAAATATGGACTAGAAGTTGAATTATCCAACTCTTTAATTCCATCCCCCAACACTTGACCTTCATAGGATCTATAGGAAATATCTTGTCCACCCTGTTCAATCTGTGCCCTTCTCTCACTCAGAGGCCCAGCCAGGTACCTGGTGAAGGAAGCCAGGGATCCTGATGCTGCCCAGATGTGCTCTAACCACTGGCTGGCACTGATCCCTTAGTAGGGTACCAGGTTGCCCATGCAATATAAGCTGGTATAACCTTTTCCAGGGGGTAATTTGGCAATGTGTATCAAGAACTTCAAAAATATTAATACCCTTTGACTCATTCATTTTAATTCTAGCAACTTATCCTAAGAAATAAACCATATATGCATAATCATCATATCCAGGGATTATTTCTAGGATCAAGAGTTACTCAGATTTGGCCCTGGCTGGGTGGCTCAGTTGGTTGGAGCATCATCCTGTGGACCAAAAACGTTGCAGGTTTGATTCCCAGTCAGGGCGCATACTAAGCTGTGGGTTCTATCTCCTGGTTTGGGCGTGTACAGGAGGCCACTGATCAATGATTCTCTCTCACATTGATGTTTCTCTTTTTCTCTGTTTCTCCCTTCCTCTCTAAAATTAATAAACATATCCTCGGGTGAGAATTAAGAAAGAAAAAGGAGGAATTACTCAGATTTACATTTATAGGCTCAGAAGGGGAGGTGCCCTAAATGTCCCCAACATTAGGGGACTTTTATGTAATTGCTGAATCATTTATACAGAATATGCTAACAGACATGAAAAGTAATGATTTTAAAACAATTTAAACCTCAGTGGAAAACTGTCTATGACATGATACCAATAAAACAAAGTGAAAGAGATAAGATAGTCACAACATCCCAATTTTCTGTTGTTGTTTTCTAAAAATGTATGTATTTATGTAGCTATAGAATGGTTGTGGAGATAAATAAGATGGTAAGAAGCTACACGAAGGTGTTGAAGATGTTGATGGCAGTTATCTCTCAGTGGCAAGATTAAGAATGTTTTTTTCTTTTTATATGTTTTTTCTAATTTTTTCTATTCATCCTGTAGTCAGGTCCTACTTCTGAAATCTTGGGAGGAAAGATTACAGGTATATATACACACACACACACATTATATATATTATTCATTATAATATATACATATATACACATGTAATACATCTATGTACAGAGAGCTACATATACATATTCATGTCTTTAGGTAGATATAGTTACATTGATATGCATTTTTAAGAGATGCGTGACAGGCTCTGGTCAGAAGATTTCTCCCTCACCACCACCGGGAAGTCCCGTGGAAGAAGGGCGAAAGGTCTTGGTTGCAGAAGGGCTGATAAAAATGCCTTTCTCTAAGCCAACACCCTGCCCCAGTTTCTCATCTGTATTTGCCTTACAGTTTTCAGGAAAGTAGACTCTCTCTCAGAAGACATCTCCCTGGCCCAGGCCATTTATGACAAGAAGATTGTGTCGATGCAGGAAAATCTGCAGGGACTCGGTAAGTGTCCAGTGTCCCGATATGCTAATGACTATGATGGAAGACTAATGTTGATTGGGTAGGGGGTTCGCCACCCCTGTGTCATGTGCCCTCCATGGCGTGGTACCAGGAGCAGGGCAGCCTTCACCAATCTACCCATACCTGAACGAAGGACAGCCTGCTCCCTGCTCCCTGTCCAGCTGCAGAAGCACCCATTGCAGGAGGGCTGCTACCTGGGCTGGAGGTTCTGGGTGCGGTACAGATCTGGCCAGAGCCGTCGGGTAGGGAAGGAAGCTCAAGACAGTTAATTTCCCCAACATCCTCACATATCTGAAATTATTTTTAAGACCTTCCAGAGCCTCTCGGTAAGCGAGTCTTTTCCTCATCGTTGCTCTAAAGTGTGCATGCTTCACGGTGCTCTTTATCTCCTGCTTGGACGAGAGATGCTCTCATGCTGACAGGCAGCCGGAAGGAGCCATAGCGGAAGGGGTTAGAGGTGGTCTGCTGTCACGGAAAGAGAAAGTGCTGTTCTGCCCCTCTCTCGACGAGTGATATTTGTCAAGCCACTTCTCTGGGCCTCATTTCTCACCAGTCACGGGAGAAAAATCCCTGCACCCTCTTCTCCACAAGTTTTATTGTGAGAGGATCAAATAAGATAACACATACCAAACTATTTGGAGAAATTTTAAAATGAAATGTAAATGGGAGGTCCTTGGCAACCTCCGAAAAGTTAGGAAGATATATTCTTGAGAATTTGGTGGCGAGATGGAGATCTAAAGCCTAAATCCTGCATTTCAGGTCTTAGTAAAGACATTTGATAAAAATAAGATTTCATAGAGCTGGTCAGGCCACTTCCAAAAAGGGGTTCGTAGCAGGACTTGGGAAAGAAAGAGGAAGCAGAAAGCCACTTGCCAATTCATTATGCTCTGAAATATTTCATTTAAAGAAGCAACCTTTGTCCCATGATCCTTCAGCAACTAAAATGTTCTCTCTTTCTCCTGAAGATCTGAAAGCCCCAAACAACTGCTCTTTCTGCCACGAGGCTGGGCAGCTGGGGCAAGAGATCAGAAAACTGCAGGAGGAGCTGGGGGGGATTCAGAAGATGCTTCTGGCTCAGGAGGTCCAGTTGGACCAGACCTCTCAGACCCATGAACTGCTCTCGACCACCAGCAGTCAAATCTCCCAGGAGATGGGCAATTGTTCCTTCTCCATCCACCAGGTCAACCAGACTCTGGGGCTCTTCCTGACTCAGGTGAGAGGCTGGCAGGCCACCACGGCAGGCCTGGACCTCTCTCTGAAGGACCTCACCCAGGAGTGCTATGACGTCAAGGCCGCAGTATACCAGATCAACTTCACCGTGGGGCAGACTTCAGAATGGATCCATGGGATCCGCCGGAAGACAGACGAGGAAACCCTGACCCTCCAGAAGATTGTCACTGACTGGCAGAACTACACTCGGCTCTTCAGCAGCCTGCGCACCACCTCGGCCAAGACCGGAGAAGCGGTCAAGAACATCCAGGCCACCCTGGGGGCCTCCTCACAGCGCATCAGCCAGAATTCTGAGAGCATGCATGACCTGGTGATGCAGGTCATGGGCTTACAGCTGCAGCTGGATAACATCTCTTCCTTCCTGGACGACCATGAAGAGAACATGCACGACCTGCAGTACCACACTCGCTACGCCCAGAACCGCACCGTGGAGAGGTTCGAGACGCTGGAAGGACGCATGGCTTCTCATGAGATCGAGATCGGCACCATCTTCACCAACATCAATGCCACCGACAGCCACGTGCACAGCATGCTTAAGTACCTGGACGACGTGCGGCTGTCCTGCACGCTGGGCTTCCACACCCATGCTGAGGAGCTCTACTACCTGAACAAGTCCGTCTCTCTCATGCTGGGCACCACGGACCTGCTCCGGGAACGCTTCAGCCTGCTTAGCACCCGCCTGGACTTCAACGTCCGCAACCTGTCCATGATCATGGAGGAGATGAAGGCCGTGGATACGCAGCATGGAGAAATCCTTCGTAACGTCACCGTTGTACGAGGTGAGAGTGAGGTCTGGGCTGGGCTGCTTCAAAGCTTCCGGAGGGCCTTGGTCATCTTGCCAGACCCAGAAGTGCCTGGTTTCAGGCAAAAATCCCAGTGGGCTAATACAATCCTGTCGCAAATACCTAGGGCAACTGGCAGTTTTAATGCACTTGCAAACCTCTTTTGTAAAGGTGTTGTGGCTCCTAACTTTGCCTGTTATACATATTTGGATTTTTATGTATGGATTTGTTTAATTGCTCCACAGAGAAAAATAGGCAGACCTCAACTTTTGGAAACTGTCTCTTTCTTGTTTTCTCCCTCCTCCCCTTTCACCAGTGAGAACTATCTTCTCCTATCTCATCTCTGCATTAGCCAGGGTTCTCCAGAGGAACGTAATTAATAGAGAGAGAGAGAGAGATTGTAAGGAATTGGCTCATATGATTATGGAGAATGGCCAGTCCAAAATCTGTACAGCTGATGCCCCAGTTCATATCCAAAGGCCGGAAGCTGCTGAAGAACCAGGAAGAGATGATGTGTCAGTTTCAAGACCTTCAGGTTAGGCAGGAGAAGTCTCTTCCGTGAGGGTGGGTCAGCCTTTTGTTCTGTTTAGACCTTCCACTGATTGGATGAGGCCCACCCATACTGGGGAGGGCAATCTGTATTACTCAATATAGATTTAAATGTTAATTTCATCCATAAATACCCCTACAGACACACCCAGAATAATGTTTGACCAAACATCTGGCCACCCTGTGGCCCAGTCAAGTAGACACATAAAATGAACCATCACAAGTCCATCCCTTTCCAAGTCGGTATCCATACACATCTCCTTAAATCATTCTTAATCCTGAAATGAAGACAATAGCAGAGTCATTATTTTACCTAATGTACATGATGCAACTATGCTGTGTACAACCAAAACCACACTAAACCCTTGCCCAGAAGAGGAGGTAAAGTCCTTCAGGAACGTTCACTCTTCTCCTTGATATCTCATAACTTCAGTACTATGATATACAATTAACAATATTTAAATAATGTGATATAAAGTCAATACATTTTATATCTTATGTTACATGATCAGGGGATAAGAGAGGGAAGAAAGAAAGATCTATATGTTATATATTTTTATATATTAATAACAATAAGGAGGAAATACTCTCGACAATTACAGTCCTCATTTCTGTGACTGGTCACATGTTCACAGCTGGTATTTATAACTACCTTTATCCACTACATAGTTCACATTCCCTTTGCCCTCAGCAAGCAACTTGGCCGGTTGTGATTCTTTACCTGGTAGGGTGATCCAAACCTTAGTTCTTCAAGACCCCTTAGTAGTCCTGCCTGGATTGGGTTGTTGTGGTTTTCCATTGCCCTTAATCACAGGGTATGGTAATGCTCAGAGACGCCCCAAGTGAGCTCCTGCATTGCAGACATACACGTCCATTGTGGAGAGCAGTCCCGTTCTTCCTTGGTAGTCAGGGTCAGTCACCCCAGTCAGCACAGTAGCTTCTTCTTTTTATTTTTATTTATTTATTTTATTTTATTTAGAGATAGAGCAGGAGGGAGAGAGGGAAGAGAGAGAGAGGAACATCGATGTGAGAGAGACACACCGAGTGGTTGCCACCCACACGACCCCGATCTGGGGCCAGGGACAAACTGCAACTGAGGTACATGCCCTTAGCAGGAACCAAACTGGGGACTCTGGTCCGCAGGCCGATGCTCTAACTGCTGAGCCCATCCGGCCAGGGCTTTCTTTTTTTTAAATAAATTTTTATTGATTTTAGAGAGAGAGGAAGGGAGAGAGATAGAGAAAAAGACACATCGATCAGTTACCTCCTGTGCAAACCAAACCCACAACCTGGGCATGTGCCCTGACTGGGAATCGAACCAGCGACCTTTCAGTGCCTGGAACAACGCTCAACCAACTGAGCCACACCAGCCAGGGCAGCACAGTAACTTCTTTACCTGTTAATTCAGAGGCACGAGGAGCCCAAGTGTCTGGGCAGCAGTCTTAACTTCCCGTTCAATGGAATCGTTGTTGTATCTCCTGGCAGAAACATTCTCCCCTTTGGAACTAAGATCTCTTCGCCAGCAGAGTATAAGGTTGTGGGAACAAAAAGCAAAAACTTTTGCTAGTGAGTCACTAAGTATAACAGTGAGTGGGCCACTCCCATCTCCACCCCCAATCCCTGGGCCTGTGAATCGGGCATCACATATTGGACACTGACTCAAAGCATATATAGCTCTGAAAGTGTTTGCCCCTAACTGGCACTGTAACTGAGTCTTCCAAAGGCCGTTCCCCCCATTTAAAAAGCCAGCTGCTTCAAGATGGTAGGAGACATGGTAATGCCAGTGAACGCCATGGTCGTGGGCCCATTGCCACACGACAGTCGCTGTGAAGTGCGTTCCTTGATCAGAAGCAATGCTGTGTGGAATACCATGATGGTGGGTAATACTTTCTGGAAGTACATGGATGGTATTTTTGGCAGACGCATTGCATGCAGGGAAGGCATATCCATATCCAGAGTAAGTTTCTCCTCCAGTAAGAACAAAGCCCTGCCCTTGCATGATGGAAGCTGTCCAATGTAATCAGCCTGCCAAGCTGGCTGACCCCCCTGGGGAACGGTGCCCTGTGAGGGATTCACTGCTGGTCTCTTCTATTGACAGGCTGGGCTCTCAGCAGTGACTCTAACCAGGTCAGCCTTGATGACTGCAAGTCCATGTTGCTAAAACCATGAATAGCCCCAAACCCTGCCACCATGGCCACTTTGCTCATGAGCCCATTGGGTGATGACAGGGGCTGGGGAAAGAACTCACCCTTTGGCAAGCATTTGCCTAGGACACAAATCTTCACATGTTGCCCATTCAGAGAGAACTATTCATATACCTCTGCCCCAAATTGTATTTCAACTCATTTTCCAGTTGCGTTCCTTCCAAGTCCCTGACCATCCAGTCAAATCATTGGCCACAGCCTATGAACTGGTCCTCACTTCCTATTCCTGACAGGTTCTTGGAAACTGCAACTTTAAGCAAAATGACATATAACAAAACCAACGGTAAACATAAACTGGTTGATATAAACGAGTTAAATCCCCACAGCATGTTTCTGGTCACAAAAACGTCACCAAACTTCTAAATAAAGACCCAAAACACCTCTAATATTAAACATGGAAACAAATGTGAGCTACACACACACTTGAGAAAGATGAATAAAAACAACTAAGGAAATGATTTTTTAACCTGCTTGTTCCAGTTCAGGATGGCAGGTGGCCGGAGCCCCTCCCAGAAGCTCAGGGTGCAAGGCAGGACCCCACTCTGGACAGGACACCCTTCCACAGCAGGGCCACTCACACAGCCACACTCTCAGACTGGGACAGTGTAGGGATGCCAGTCAGATAATATGCACGTCGTCCGGATGTGGGGGGAACGGAGTCCCTGGAGAAAACCCGTGCAAACACAGGCAGGACGTGCACACTCCACACACGCAGTGGCCCTGGCTGAGGATTACTTTTTTTCTCTTATCAACATTATAACGAAATGACGTTGAATGAAATGATGTGATTCGAGGACCTGTCTGACCATGCAAGCAGAACAGCCAGGTGCACTGCCAGGTGCACTGCCAGGTGCTCTGCCCGCTGGGAGGCTTTCCCCTCACCGCTGTCCTTCGGGGATGTCCCAGAGGGGGCTGCCTGTGGGCTGCAGCTGTCCACCGTCAGGTGATGCCTGCATGTGTGCAGACCTGGACCGAGTCTGCTTTCCTCTGTCTGCTGGGGGCTCTTCCCATGATGCCACAGAGAGGGCAGTGTCACAGGAGTGGGGACCATGGGCGTTTGGGCCACTTATTCATACAACTTACCTGTTGTGCCTTTGGGGCCTGCTTGGGCCCAAGTTACCTGTATACCTTGTCCAAGTGCAGCTCTACACTCCCAACTTGGTGGTGTGGTGGGTCAGATAACACTCAGCCCACGATGGGCATCTCAGGTCGCATGGTAAACTGGTGACCCATGGCTAAGTGTTCAGTCTCTGCGCAGGCCTGATAATAGCAGGCCAAGAACTGTTTCTCACAAGGAGAGTAATCTGCAGAGGATGGCAGGGCTTTGCCCGAGTTCCAAGGGCCTGCACTGCAGTTGACGTGGAGGGACCTGCCAAAGGCTGAGAACACCACTGGCCTGCCTCTGCCACTCCAAGCACGTTGGGCCTGCTGGATCCCGTGACCCGAGTGGCAGAGCAGCTTCTATGGCAGCCTGGACCTGTCGCAGGGCTTTCTCTTGTTCCGAGCCCATTCAGAACCAGCAGCTTTCGGGTCACTCAGTGCATGGGCCGGCGTAGTATACCCAAATAAGAAATATGTTGCCTCCAAAACCCAAAGAGGCCCGCTAGGTGTGGGGCCTCCTTTTTCACTGTAGGAGGGGCCAGATGCAACCATTCATCCTTCACCTTCGAAGCGATATCTGAACATGCCCCAGCCACGGGACCCCTAGAGATTTCACCAACGTGGAAAGACCCTAAAATTGGGCACATTTGTTTTCCCACCCTCTAACACACACGTCTTACAAATAGAGCTGTAACAAGCGTGAGTTACTATTTACTGCTCACTGGGTGCAGTCAGCGTAATGTCATCAATGCAATGGACCAGGGTGGTACCTTGAGGAAGAGAAAGGAAAACAAGATCCCCTGAGAACCAAGTTATGACACAGGCCTGGAGAGTTGAGGTGCCCCTGAGGCGAGACAGTGAAGGTGTGGTGCTGGCCTTACCAGCAGAGAGCAGACTGGTGGGGCTTACGGACAGGGACGGACCCAAAACACATTTGTTGACGCAGTATCTGTGCACCAGGGGATGTGTTCATTTCCTTGGGCAATGAAACCACACGTGGCACAGCAGCTACAACTGGAATCACCAGCTGGTTAAGTTACAGTAATCCTCTGTCTTCCCAGGGACCTGTCACTCTTCTGTCAGGCCAGATAGGAGGGATAGATGGGGATGTGGGGGGAATCACTACCCCTGTGTCCTTTAAGT